AAAACAACGATTTTTAGTCGAAAAAGTAAATCAATAAGAATAAAATTTGTATGAGTTTATTTTTTTTTGATAAAAAAAACAGGCTGAACAAAGTCGTCAAGCAAATGTTATTGGAGTAGAAGGTGATGCTCGTACAGCTGATTTAATTGGCAAAGCTTTAGATGAAGCTGGTGGTGGTAAATTTTCGAATATCTTTTATTATTTTGTCTTACTTTATTTTAATATTCATGTTAGATTTGATCGAACTTCGACGAATTGAAGCCGCTGATGGTATTGCAAATCAATTATCAAAATCAAGAAATAGCGTCTATTTACCACATGGTCCTCAAATGTTACTTAACATTACTGATGCTATGCAATAAAAATATTGTTTTTTGTTTTCATAGTAAACTAACGAGATTGATTTAGAAAAATAAAAAGAACATATAAGAGTTTTTTTTTGTATGTGTGTGTGTGTTTATAAACTATTGAGAATACGAAAGCATTGTATTGTCCTATTTTTTGTTCGATTAAAGAAAAAGAAGATCAGATCAACAATTCTCTAGATGACATTATAGATTCGAGTACGATTGAAATGATGAATTTCGATAATCTCTTTCGACGTTTTATATTAACTCAATCATTTGTACGTGATTGGGAAAATCCATTTCATTTACAAGAAATTTTTACCTGTCGACGTGAAAAAATTGGTGTAAGAGATGAGTGTTTAGAACTTGTACCAGCTGAAAATGTACAGGAAAATACTGTTGAAATAATTAAACAAGAAACAAAAAGGTAATCAAAATTATATAAATGCTCGATTCCGTTCACCACTTGCCAATTATTTACCGCATTTGGTAAGTAATTAAAATCATTTTAATCATTTAATTAATATTATCTTTTTTCTTTTGTTATATTTATTTAAATAGGTTTCATCTCAAGTAGCTACAGCTCATTTTCAACTTGTTCTATCACGTGATCAAGGTTTTAGCCGACGAAGGTTATTTACTGCAGTCCCGTTAATTAATCAATATCCTATAGGTTCAATTCTTCTTGAAAATCCATATTATGGTTTAAGAAAACCACTAAATCAATCTCGTTCATCATTATTATATGTTACCGATTTATATATTATGAGTGAAGTACTTGTTTTAGAAACATTTATGCTACTTCATTGGTGTCAAAAAATGAAGTTAACATCAGTTATTCTACATGGTTTTTCTTTTGGTGGACATATGGCTTCATTAGCATTTACAAAGTAAGATTCAATTCTATTATTTGATCTATTTAATGAATGGATATACAGTATCTATCATAATTTCAAATAATAATTCAAGTAGAGCAAACCATATTGCAAAAAGAATATAAATTAAAAACATTGATTATTTGATTCCCTAAGTTAGGATTCTTTTAGACAACCCAAAAGCCTAATTTCTCAGTATCTAGTACTTGAACTCTCTAGGACAGTTTTTTATTGAGTAAAAGTTGAATAATTTTGGTAGCCATTGTGTATATATTTATATTTTAGATGGCCTGATCCACCTTCTCGACAATTCTATGAAAATAAAGCCTTTCAAACATTTTATGATTATTTACGTGAACGAAATCGATCAATAGATTCAAATAAAATTGTTCTCAATCTTATTAAAGATATGATGCGTCTTCTTATGGATGAATTTACATCTTTATATAATTATTCACGCCTAATTCAATCAAATATACCTAATGCTATGTTTATTGCTTGTACACATGATGGTTATGTATTACGTGATGGTATTCCACATATGATTGATGTATGACCTGGTATTTATATCCGATATATTCCTCATGGATATGTTAGTGTATTTTTATTTAATCAATCAGGTTTTCATCATGCTGCTGCTGAAATGTTACAACGACAAGAATCAAATGTAAAATTAAAAAAAACATCTAATCATATCACCAATTTCTGTTACTATACCTAAAAATTCGTGAAGATATATATTTTTTTCATATAGATATTTTCTCGAACAGTATCAAATATTTCCTAGTTTTCGTGTTATGATTTGAATAATAACTCAGAGAAAAAAAACTTTTGATCGAATATAAACTAGATAATATAGTAATCGTTTTGTTTTTTAAATATAATTTGTATGACTCTGGTAAAAACATGAGCAAACATTTTTTTTGTCCTACTTATCAGCAAATAGATATTGAGAGAACTTCTCCAACTGCTATCCTCTGTTCGAACTCATAAGTAGAACTCATAGTCATGATGAAAACATTTAACATGTTCGTGCTCTTAAGTTTTTCATGATTGTTCTATTAAATATTCAGCATATTGCAGGATATCAGCAAAAAAAGACTGCAATAACGAGTCTCCATCTGAAACTTTCTCCGATAACAGACCTCATAACAATTATTACATTCTAAAAGTTTTAGCTCAAACGAATGGATCCAAGTCAATCAATCAGACAGTGAGATCAATCACAGATTCTTGCACCTTCATACGAGATCGTACAATTCGATTTCACTATATTGTTTGAATCCTTTACAATAACCCATACAGGTTAGAGTTCTCTTCTTTATAAATTACCATACCATCCATACGCATACATAGCCAACATTTAAATTTTAGGTCGCATAACTGGATACAGATTTATCTATATAACTTTACTCAGAATTGGAACTGGTCTTTATCGGTTCTCTTTCTTTTCGCAGATGTGAACGAGAAGAAAAAGAACAGCGTGTGTATTTATATGATCATATCCTTAATATCAAATAAAACTTAATTATTACTTGAAAAACAATTTCAAGGAATGCCAAATCTCAAATTATTACCAATTTTGAAATCTGCATGTCAATATTTCGAAATTTCAAAATTCTTTAACGTTCAAATTTTCAAATTTTCAAATTTTGAAAGTACGGCTAAATGTGAAACAGACTGAGATATCACATATGAGATATTTACTCACATCATACGTTTTTGAAATCGTCAGAAAAGCAGATATCAGATATTTGGCTATATGAATGTGGGTGTAGGCAGTGTGTTAACAGAAGAAGTGCACCCACATACACACCCCACACTCACACCCTCGCAGCTGCTGTGGGTGTCGCGAAGAGACTCATCACAAAATGTATAGTTTAAGTAAATATCTGATATCTGTTTTTCTGAGGATTTCAAAAATGTATTGTGTGAGTAAATATTGGATATCTGCTTTTTTGGTAATTTTAAAACTGTACGGTGTAAGTAAATATCTGATATCTGCTCTTCTGGTAGTCGCATAGCAATGTATGGTGTAAGTAAATATCTGATATTTGCTTTCTGCTGACGGTTCTGCATTCGGTATAGGAGCTAATATCTGATATGTTGATCAAAATCAAATATTAGTGATCAGATATTTAGTAAAAATTGGTAATAATTTGAGATTTAGCACGATTTCTTCAATTTTATGTGGAATCATTTGAAAACGAAACATACAATAAAGAAATACAAAAGCTGTAGGAACAGTAATAAAAACATAAAATATCAAAAAGCTTTTATTATATGTGTTTTTGAATCAATTTTAACTTTATTCCGAAGTGAAACGTAACTGAGAGGTTCTCTTTCAGAATTAGTTGTGCAGCCTACCCTAGTGAATGTACTCATCCAGAGAGTGCGACTTGCCAGCATGAGTACTCAAATTACTCGAGCAAGTACTCTCAAAAATTCATGAGTATGTAAAATGACCGAGTCCTCACATACGCACTCATACGAATCTTTCACTACACATCTACTTATAGGCAAGACCCGGTGTACTTATCCTAGTACTCGTCGTGTTTTTTTTTGTCTGAAAAGACTCAATATTTAGAATGGAATGTGTTAGGACGAAAAAGATGTCACGCACTGAGTTTCTATGGACGGTAAGTTCACAATTTTAACAAGATAATTTCCTTCTATGACTGTGGCGTTGAGAGAAGCGGACTTATCCAGAATCTACGAAGCTTCTCGAAGGGCAACAAACCAGAACTTTAAATGGACCAGTTGTTACTAACAATAAGGAATGAACAGTCATAGGATCGGATTTGATTAGTATGTAGCGGATTTCAACGATACCTGGACAGAAATACTGTGCAAGAGTTATTTGTGTTGAATTGTGAAAATGAAAATTTCTCAATATATTGGAGAAGTTTAGACATATTTTGACAAAAGATGGCACTTGCATGGTCAAATTATTGCAAATATAGTAAGTGAACTAGTGAAAGTCATTCAACTTGTACGCCTTTATACATAGTTTGCGTTCTACGAAGGAGTTTGTAACATTTAGCTTGTCAATCAAATGCCTTTTTCTTTTGAGACTTTTTTTTTTATTTTATTTTACAGAAAGAAAAGGATTCCAATTCGATACTAGAAGAGCTTTATTAATCAACGATTTTCTTATTATATTTTGAGAAATGTTTTTGAATATAGACTTCGAATTCTTTTTCGAGGCCAAGGATAAATAAAAATTTTACAAGAGATCCGATCACTAGTGCATTCATGCAATCTATTTCGAAAATGATTACAATAAATATATAGGTCGAAGATAAAGAAACAATTCCAGGAGATCGAATGAACTGTTATTGCTTCACTTTATTTGATATGTTTCTGTCAAAAAAAAATGCATTACGCATATGTCAAAGATGTCAACATGATTACTCAAGTTGTGATCCAGAGTGTTCTAACAATTTTATTCTATCGGAACCTACGTGACTCGATACCAGCTATGAGAATCGGCTGGGAGGAAAGAAGCGTCGTAACAGGTAAATGGCCTATTAAATTTTATTGTAATTCGATCGAGTGTTGTGTGCTATCTTTTCCTTCATTTGTATCTAATTTTAGATAGAGTCTCATATGGCTCATGTTAATTAAGTTGCATTAAAATAATGTTCCGTCAGTAGTTTATGCATATTTGTTCAAATTTTAAAACATTGAACAGTTTAGTGAAGGAGATGATATGATTGTCACATAAGTGAAGATCATATAGTTAATGTAAATAGATGAACAGAAGAATTGAGTTAGACGAGACAAGTTTCAAATAGTTGAAAAGCTTTTCGTAGAATAGAAATGACACAAGGGAAAAGATTCACCTAATGTGAAACATTTCGACTATAAATGCTTGATAAGTTTTACAATGGAAACTTTTTCTGTTAGTCAAAGTTGTGTGCAACCTCGTTAGTTCCAAAAACTACTTTTTATTTTTTATTTTTTTTCTTCACTTATGAGAATGGAAAGATTGCTTTAGCAAACCGTTACTCCTGATAGAGCATTAGTATGCTTCTGAGTAAATGCATTGTCATCATGGAATTTCATGACTAGTGTGTTTTATTAAAATAATATGAAAGTGTTCTCAGTTTGTATGTTTAGAAGAAAGTGTGTCGTTGTCGTGAAAAATATCTTCATTTACAGAGACTCGTTGAGGACGAAGTAATAAGAGTTTTCGTGTTTTCAGGTTACATCCATTCAACTATTGAGAAAACAATCCAAATTTATATAATTGAATACAATCTGTGTATAAGTTCTTTTAATATGTTTCACATTGATCGCTTAGCGTATGGGTCAGACTTCGACTGTACATTTTCATATAGAGAAGTCATGTTCAGTTTGAATGGAAAATATATATTCGAAAGAAAATTAGATTATGACTATCGATTTTGTGCTACTGTGAAATGCGTCAATAGCTGATACAGATATTAGAGAAAACAATCAAAATGCAATCTACTTGGTCAACTGATTTATAGTTGCTCATGGGTAATTATTACTGCAGCAGGTATTTGGTCATGTTTGTAATGAATATGATTATTTTGAAACTTATAATGATTGTGTTTCATTTTATGATCAGTATTTGTTTATCATAACAGTAGTAGACATAGATGTTAAAGCAATAAGAAACTGTTAAAAATCTTTGGCTAATACGGTTGAATTCATTCAACTCAATAATCATGATATATATGGATGTGTTGTGTGTATGATTCGTGTTTACTTATACAAGTTATTATCGATACGGCTCAACATATGCATTTGATGGTATCACTCAGTCAATGGGTAATGAAGAAGATATGAATGTATGGTCAGCTGCATGCATCATCGGTGCGTTTTTGCTAGATGTCAATGTAAGTTTGGTTAGATATAAATTTCGTAACGAATTATCTCTGTTTGAATTCAGAATCCAATGGAAGTTTAAAATAACTTCAATCTATTTGAATCACACTTCTAGACTTTCTACCCTATGCATCAATGTTCTGTGGAGTGAGACAGAAAATGTGGCAAAAATTTTGATAATTAGCTTCCCATAGCTTATTATTCACGATATGTACCACGATATACAAAATTTAGTGATTCTTAATCAAAAATATATAAAAATGTGTATGAGAATTCAATTTGGAGTTGTTAAAAGAGTTCTTCATCTTATTCTATAACTATTTTAAATCAGTTGATTTATATGATTAAATGATACGTCGAATACTACCAAGAAAGAAAGAAATAAAAAAAAATAAACAAAAACAGAAAATATACATCTATAAAAAATACAAAATATACATCGACAAGGACTACAAAATGTACATCTACACCTACATACAAAGACTAACAATTAATACATGTTGACTTCATGAATATTTACAGCCAATGTTGTTATCATATGTCAATATTAGTTTTTTTAATTATGTACAAGACTAACTACTTCAACAATGGCGTCAACCGTATCAATTGTAGCTATGCTGAGGTTTACAGCAGAATCTAATGTTTCTATAACTACAACTATATCGTCAATTATTATTTCGATGTCTGCTAACGTTGACATTGTTTGAGGAGTATTACTGATTGTTGTTAGCATCGGCTCATATGCTGTTTCGTACGTGTAAATTTCATCAATTTGTGGTACGACTGTCTTTTTCGTAGGCTTTTTAGCTCTAAGCATGCTGACTTTTTTATATATTTCTTCAGCTTCTTTCGCAGCTTGAAGAGCCATTTCCATGGCCATCTTAGCTCTCACTGCTGCTTCTTTCTCGGCTACGATTGCTATAGCCAACTCTTCATCTTCAACGACATCTCCAAACTCGTCCATAACTGTAATCGATGAAGAGCATCCAGAAACTGATAATGATGGTATTGATGATGGTGTTGTTGATGACAATGATGTTGTTGACAATGCTCTTGTCTTACTAGCTGTTTTGTTTTCAGTTTGAAGCCATTCTTCGAACTCAATCGATTCTGAAGTTCCATTAACAATTGTATCTTCAGCTTCAACATCTTGTTCATCAGAACTAGCAATTTCAGAATTATCATCAGATATTATACCATGTTGTTTACGCCATTGTCTACTATGATTAGCAGCTTCTGGTATATCAGCAATGCTATCATAGACGTCGTCGGATTCATCAAATTGTTGAATAATTTTTGGTTTACAAATATATTCATCATCTTCTACATTACATGAAAATAAACAAAAAATAAAAGAAATTTCGTTTATTTTTAAATTTAATTGAAAAATATTATTCATTCCTTAGATACGGCAGTCCAAAAATAGTGTTTACAAAATCAGAATGTCATATAGAAAGTTCATTTCAATTTTTTTCTTTTCCATTTGTATTTTTTAGGTTTAGCTGCATTTTATCCTTTATTCGTATGAAGTATATTATCAGTTAATGTGTTTCCATAAACGATGTTCAATGAAAATCATACATCTTTGCTTTAGATAAATGAAGACTGTTTTCGGTGTTAAACTAAAATCTGTTCTGAACAACACGTTAAATCGAAAGGGATGTATGAGAAAACCATTACATGTTTTCGAAAGTATAAACTCATCGTATTATACATAAGGATAGATTGCCAAAATGATTTTTTTATTTTGTTTTTGAAGTATGAGGAGATGATCGAAAATGAATCGCCTCCTCGTGTAGATGTAAACGGCAGAATATTCAACAATATTGATGTGATTCTACTTCCTCTTGATTATTTATCTGCAGCTAACTAAATTTGTAAGTGGTTGTACATCCAAAGAATTCGTTTGTGTTCAACGTATTGAACAAGTCCCAATATATTCCTCAAATGTCAGTAAGTACCATAAGAATCGAGTGGCTTAGAAACAAACAACAAATCATACTTTTATCAACACGCAAGTGAGTGAACTTTCTGTGAGCCTGTATACGTAGCAAGAGACATACTCATGTGTTAAGGTTCAACAGAAATGCTTCACTCAAAAATTGTGTTTGATATTTTATTTAACTCTATCGTTACTGTTGCAATCCATTATATGACATGAAGGCAATCTATTGATCATTAATCTGATATTGAAGGTGGCTGGCATGATCTCATCAATGACATCCAAAAGGATCACGGTTAATAGTCTCTGCTACGCTGTCAATTGAAATTCATCACGGTTTTGTGAGATCACATGTAAGTCAAAATATTTCGATGCCTCTCACATAATAAGCTATTGCGATAGTACTATAACGACTGAGTTTTCAGAAGCGTGCACTTTGCACTTGTCGTTCTTCGATTTTATGAAACATATTCTTACATTTTCGAACGGTTTGAAATCGATTGTAGCGTAGTGTAATTATGATCATAGAAGTTTTACAATGAAGATGACAACCCAAAACACTCGATCAATGGAGCGAGTCGTTAAAATTATCTATGGATAAATAAGGTAAGTGTCAGGAATAGGCAGTAAAACACTTAAATGATGGATTCTGGAAACTTTTATCGTAAACTTAGTGATTATTTTTGGACTGCCGCAGAAAGGTTTCTACTTACCTATTTTAACTATAAAGGTTCGTTCACGCCAATAGACTGCTTCATCGCTGTTATCCGAAGTGTCTAGTACACGAGCCAAACTACCTATATCTTCCGGATTTAATAAAACGATCGCCGGCATTTTAACACGAATACGCTCGCTTCCTTTAAATTTGTCCGTAGCCTAGTATTTCATAAGAAACATGACAAAAATTAACCGGAAAAATATTGTTTCAAAAAGAAAGATTACGTAGATGTCTTCGTTGCAAATTAGTAAACTTTTTTTTGACGGAAAATAGTAATCACAAAATTTGCTCCATGGTATATTGTCAATGACTATATACCGTCCATCGTTTCTCCATTCCTTGAGACACCAATTT